CACATAACAACAACAACATCTGGAAATACAATGTCGTGAGTGATAGGATAATATCAATATGCATACAAGGAAGACCCATCAAATATACACACCTACATCTGGAGTCAAGAGAATATTGCAGTCTGAAAGTGACCAAATATGTAATCAAGATGTGTTAATGGTAAGTGGTGACTAGAATGGAAAAGTGGGTAAAAGTGAAGAATTAATACTATTTTGGAAAAATATAAGCTTGGCGATAGAAATGAGATAGAAAATAGAAATATTAAATTTTTTGTTTACAATGCTATCTCTATTTAAATAAGCTTTGTTTATGTGGAATCACTGAAACTTTCTGGTCATTGCTTTTTCAGTAGAAGGCACTTCTCAGCCAGAGACCTTTGTCCCAGAAACACTTTGAAGAATGAAGGAAGAGAGTATAGTTAACACTGTTAATTCCCAGTTAAATTGGAGTTTTAGATAATAATTATGTTCCAAATAGTAAAATGTTGTTGCTGTTATGTGCCACTGAGTCAGAACCCACACATAGCTGACCCTCCAGCAGGTTTTTTTGAGGCAGTTAATTGAACAGGAGGAAATTGCCATCAAAGGAATTTAAAAGAGAAGATATTAAATGATCTATAGCAAGCCTAAAACAGCACATCAGCAGAGAACTGCCAGAAGTCCAGGCTGGGTTTAGAAGGGGTCGTGGTACTAGGGATATTGTGGCTAATGTCAGATGGGTCTTGGCTGAAAGCAGGGAATACCAGAAAAATGTCTCTATTTCATTGATTATGCAAAGGTGTTTGACTGTGTGGATCATAACAAACTGTGGCTGACTCTGAGAAGGATGGGAATCCCAAAACATTTAATCGTGCTAATGCGAAAACTATACTTGGACCAAGAGGCTGTAGTCAGAACAGAGTAAGGTAACACTGCAGGGTTCAAAATTGTGAAGGGTGTATGCCAGGGATGTGTCCTATCTCCATACCTTTTCAACCTGTATGCAGAGCAGATTATTCAAGAGGCTGAGCTCTATGAGGAAAAGTGTGGAGTTAGGATTGGTGGAAGATCTATTAACAATCTGCATTATGCAGATGACACAACCCTGCTTGCCGAAACTGAGGAGAACCTCATGCACTTGCTGCAGAGGGTCAAGGACTGCAACCTTCAGTATGGCCTGAGACTCAATGTCAAGAAGACAAAGATTCTCACCACTGGACCAATTGGTAGCATCAGGATGGATGGCGAAGAGATTGAGATTGTTCACAGCTTCAGTTTGCTCGGCTCCACGGTCAACACTCTTGGCATCAGCAGCCAGGAAATCAAAAAACATATTGCAATGGGAAAGTCTGCTGTTAGGGACCTCTCTAAAGTACTCAAGAGCAACGGTGTCTCTCTAGAGACTAAGGTGTGCCTTTGCAATCACTTGTTATGCATCAGAGAGTTGGACAAAAGAATTGATGCCCTTGAGCTGGGGTGCTGGAGAAGAGTATTGAATGTACCCTGTACTGCCAAGAAAACAAACAGATTCATCCTGGAGAGGGTTAAACCAGGCTACTGCTTGAAGTCAAGGATTCTGGGGCTTCGTCTGACATACTTTGGACATGTTGTAAGGAGAGACAGGTCCTTGGAGAGGGTCATCATGTTTGGTAGGGTGGAGGGACAGCGCAGGGGGGGAAGACCCTCTATGAGGTGGATTGATTCAGTAACTGGGGTAATCGGGATGGGGGTGTCAGAGGCAAAGTGATGGGCACAGGATAGAACACGGTTTAGGGCTGTTGTACATAGGGTCTCTGTGAGTTGCAAACGACTTGACGGCACATAACAAGAACAATAGCAAGCCTGCATGCTATCCCTTTTATTTTGCATCTACTGGTCACTTTGTTAGGTAGCCTGTAAAGTGACTCCCATCTGGCATCACTCCCTTGTGTAATAGCGTCTCACGTGGGGGCTGGAATTTTACTTCTTCCTAGGGAGTAGAATGCAGCAGAACTAGTAACGTACCTCTAGCGACACTAAATTACAGCAGGACTATGTCCTCCATCTTGGGCCTCTACCTTGTTCTCTCCACCTTAATATTCAAGTTCTATTTTGTGAGCTGTCCTATGAAGCAGCTTGTGTGGCAAAGACTGGATTTCAGTCTCATTCCTAATGAAAACTTAAAAAAAGTAAAAGGAGAAACAGCATGGAGGGAAATTTTGGGGGAAAAGGGAAGTGACAAGAACTTTTTAAAGTGCTTTAAGTTTAAGACTTTTGAAAGTAACACATCCTATGTTTAACATTATTAGCTATGCACATTGCACCTTGCCAATGACTGTAGTAGCATAGATATCAGGAGAGGCCCAACCAAGGACATGGTGCTTGGTGGAGAGCCTGCAAAAAAGATACAGGCCCTCGGTGAGAAAAACTGACAGAAGGGCTTCAGTAAAGAATATGGACTGATGTGAGAATGGTGCAGGATATGCAACATTTTGTTTTTCATAGAACAGCTTTGAGTCTGAGTTGATCTAATGGCACCTCACAATTCAGAAACAAACAAATCTCACATAATTTTACTTTCTACAAGAACTCAGGAAGCTCGGGTAGCCTAGCAGTAACAGACTGTCCTGTAATCTCAAAGTCCCTGGAGTTTGAATCCTTGGGAGGAAGAGGAACAATCTCCTTCTGTGCCTCTGAAACCTGCTGGAGTCTCAACTATGAATCAGTTCTGACTCAGTAGAAAACAAGAAAGCATGTCTTTTTTATACTGTTAATTTTTTTTTTATTGCTGCTTTAACAAAAGTTTACAGGAAAACTTGGGATTTCCACTCATTCATTGTTCCATTCTCCTCCCTACCCCTGAAAAAACCCATGTCTTTTAAAAGCTTGAAGCTTAATTTTTCTAAAACTTTAAGGTCATAGAGCAATAAATGGCAAGATAATTTCTAGAACAAATATTTACTAACAATATATCTATATATATGACTTCCAAGCTTAGCCACAAAGACAACTAACCGTGATAAATCTAACCATTTACATGTAAGAACTGATGACATCCTTTTTGAAGTATAACAGATTTTCACTAGAGTCTAAGTGGCTTTTTATAGACGTTACACAGACGATAAGGGAGCAAAGCCTACATCATTTAAGCAGAAGGGAAATGTAATTGCCCCCATCACCATCATATTCGCATGCCTTAAATTCCTACTGTAAAAAAGCTTAAGAATCCTAAAGCTTTTCCCTCGCAAGCAAAGTTCTTTCTAAGCCTTTAAGTAATTACAACTCTTAAGTGAGAAAGGATGTGGCTCTGAAAAGAGCCTTTGGGTTAGTTAGGTGAACATGCTGTTTACTTGGAGCTGGTGTACTTGGTGACGGCCTTAGTGCCCTCAGACACGGCGTGCTTGGCCAGCTCCCCGGGCAGCAGCAGGCGCACGGCCGTCTGGATCTCCCGCGACGTGATGGTGGAGCGCTTGTTGTAATGCGCCAGGCGGGACGCCTCGCCGGCGATGCGCTCGAAGATGTCGTTGACGAAGGAGTTCATGATGCCCATGGCCTTAGAGGAGATGCCGGTGTCGGGGTGGACCTGCTTCAGCACCTTGTACACGTACACGGAGTAGCTCTCCTTGCGGCTGCGCTTGCGCTTCTTACCGTCCTTCTTCTGCGCCTTAGTCACTGCCTTCTTAGAGCCCTTCTTCGGGGCGGGAGCAGACTTAGCTGGCTCAGGCATGATCAAAAAGAAGTAAGCAGTGAAAGAAGAAACCAATTTCAACGCCTACTTCCGTTTGTGTTCTAGGTTTTTTATAGACGCTCTATGCAAATGAAGGCTTGAACACTATTCAGATCCGATTTGATAACACATTACTGAACCCATATTATGCAAATTTGAATGCGTCTCATCTCCCTTCTTATTGGTTGGCTAGTCACAAGCTTGTTTCGACCAATCCAACATTGCCTTCTACAATTCCACCTAATACTATAACTGCCTTCTCAGTGCTGCTTTTCAATTGATCTGGTCTGTGTTCTTTTTTGGTGCTTTTTTTATATTGCAGCAGAGTACGTCATAATGTCTGGACGAGGAAAACAAGGCGGTAAGGCTCGCGCTAAGGCAAAAACTCGTTCTTCTAGAGCCGGTCTCCAGTTTCCAGTAGGCCGCGTTCACCGTCTGCTTCGTAAAGGAAACTACTCCGAGCGGGTGGGCGCTGGCGCTCCGGTCTACTTAGCCGCGGTGCTGGAGTACCTGACAGCTGAGATCTTGGAGCTGGCGGGCAACGCAGCCCGTGACAACAAGAAGACCCGCATCATCCCGCGCCATCTACAGCTGGCCATCCGCAACGACGAGGAGCTCAACAAGCTGCTGGGCCGCGTCACCATCGCACAGGGTGGCGTCTTGCCCAACATCCAGGCCGTGCTGCTGCCCAAGAAGACCGAGAGCCACCACAAGGCCAAGGGCAAGTGAAGCCTTGAGAGACTTTCCTGTTTTCGAAAATCAAAGGCTCTTTTCAGAGCCACCTACACTATCAGAAAAGCGCTGATATGCTTATGCCCTCGGTATTTTTTAACAGATGCCCTTGTGGTTAAATGTACACCACTCAACCAAGTTACATGTTTTGTTTGCTGGCTTGGTCCAGTTCATACAATGTATTGCAACAATTCAATTAAAGCTTCCTGAACAGGAAAATGAAATTGAATGGCTGCGTCAGGTAAGGAAGGCCTTACCATAGTTACAGTACAGACTGTATCCAAGTAGTGTTCATAGTCTCATGTTCGTTCCCACAGTCACTAAAATTAATCGCGACCACATGAATACAGAATCTGAACCTTACTCTATCCTAAACCATGCTTACCACTGAGAAACTCAAGGCTTTTGTTACAGTCACTGTGTCAATCCTTAGAGATTTATGATTATAGACGCCTAAAACATGATGGAGAAAAAAATGAGAACAAAGAAAGACAGTTGACCAATCACATTTAGGGGCGGGTCTTTTAAATTTAAAGATGACGACATTCCTTCCAAAGATATTTGTTCGTTTTTTAATTGTCTTCGACTTTTTGCTTTAAAGAAAGAAGGCACCGGATGAAGCCAAAGAAAGAAACCTAGGTTAAATGAAACCTCGCTTTCAAGGACTATACTTTTTAAATTAATGACGCCTAGGTAGTAAATGAATCTATCAAAACTTTAACTACAATCCAATCACATTTTCCCGGAAATCATCAGGACCAATTAGATCACAGCGCGGGATGTATGAAAGGGACTGGCTGAGTGTATAAATACGTTCGTAAAGGACCCTGTGGCATTCCTCCTCTAGGTCTCTCTTCATACTTTTCACAATGGCTCGTACCAAGCAGACAGCTCGCAAGTCCACCGGCGGCAAGGCCCCTCGCAAGCAGCTGGCCACCAAGGCAGCTCGCAAGAGCGCGCCGGCCACTGGCGGCGTCAAGAAGCCTCACCGCTACCGGCCCGGCACCGTGGCGCTGCGCGAGATCCGGCGCTACCAGAAGTCCACCGAGCTGCTGATCCGCAAGCTGCCCTTCCAGCGCTTGGTGCGCGAGATCGCCCAGGACTTCAAGACCGACCTTCGCTTCCAGAGCTCGGCCGTCATGGCGCTGCAGGAGGCGTGCGAGGCCTACTTAGTGGGGCTCTTTGAGGACACCAACCTGTGCGCCATCCATGCCAAGCGTGTTACCATCATGCCCAAGGACATCCAGCTTGCCCGCCGCATCCGTGGGGAGAGGGCATAAACCAAAGCTTGCAATTTAACAGTTAAAAAGGCTCTTTTCAGAGCCGCCCATTTCTTCAACATAGGTGTTGTAATACTTTTTACTTGACCTATCACTTTTCTTTCATCATTAGCTGCAGGTTGCTGTTCTCTTGTGATAATAGTAGAGCTATGATGTATTCATAAATTCTACACTTTTACCCACGTTATACCATTCTCCATCTTTAACCAGTTTAACCAACTCAAAAAGGTTTGTTCTATAGGACAAGGATGATCTGATAAGGGCCTTTTTTTTAACAAGATGAATCAGTGTCATTTGAATTGGTTTCAACAATTGGTGCCTTTGACCTATGGTGTTGGAGAAGAGCACTGAATATCCCATGAGTGGCCAAAAGAACAAATTAGTATATTTTGGAGAGAGTGCACCCAGAAGGCTCTTTGGAGACAAGGATGATGATACCCTTATAGTTGCCTATAGAAAATAAGACATACCCCTTTCTACGAAGATGGCGCCAAAAGCGAAGAAGGAAGCCCCTGCCCCTCCCAAAACTGAAGCCAAAGCAAAGGCATTGAAGGCCAAGAAGGCATTCCTGAAGGGCGTCCACAGCCAAAAAAAAAAAAAAAAAAAAGATTCGCACGTCACCCACATTCCGGTGGCCTAAGACGCTGAGACTCCAATGGCAGCCCAAATACCCCCAAAGAGCGGCCCCAGGAGAAACAAGCTTGACCACTATGACATCATCAAATTTCCCCTGACCACTGAGTCAGCTATGAAGAAGATAGAAGATAACAACACACTTGTGTTCATTGTGGATGTCAAGGCCATTAAGCACCGAATTTAACAAGCTGTAAAGAAGCTCTATGACATTGATGTGGCTAAGGTCAACACTTTGATTATGCCTGATGGAGAGAAGAAGGCCTATGTTCGACTTGCTCCTGATTATGATGCTTTGGATGTTGCCAACAAAATTGGGATCATCTAAACTGAGTCCAGCGGGCTAATTTTAAATGTAATAAATTTTTCTCACCAAAATAAAATAATACATATATGAGTAAAATTTTTCTGTGAGCACAGTACAAGAAAAAATGCAGTTGAAATTATTTTAAGTGTTGTTGTTGTTGAGTGCCATTGAGTCAGAAGTGACTCCTAGCTGACCCAGCCTCCAGTGGGTTTTCAGAGGCAGTAAATCCCAAAAGAGGAGATTGCCCATCCTTCTATAGAGTGGATTGGAACCATGTGCCTTTAGTATTACAGGTTCTTACCACTAATTCATTAGTGTGTTTAAACCAAACTATCTAAAATATTACCATTTCCACATATAATTAATATAAAATAAGAGCTACAATATTTTACTTTATTTTCGTGTTTGTCTTTTGAATTTGGATGGATATTATACTTACTTTGGTGGTAAACTTTCACAGGAACTATACAGAGGTTCCATAAAGTTTATATCTGAGAAAACCACATTTCTCTTATTCACATGATTAGAGAATGACTAAAACTTTTCAGGTATAAGTTTATTAAAATTACACAAAATTGAAAGTTCTGTTCTCAGCAACACAAGCCACATTTCAAATGCTCAATTGCAACATACAGCCACCAACTACCATACTGAGCAATGAAATCCTAAAAAGCAGAGATTGAGATTGGGAAGATAGAAACCTGAGGTTAAATTGGAGTGCTGCTGTAAGTTGTAGGGAAACCTCTTTTGATATGTGTGCTGAGTAAAACTATTTTACTGGATCTCCAAGACTGTGATCTTTCAGTAACAGATCACAAGTCCTCTCTTCCTTTGGATAGATTTAAACATTAATCTTTGCATAAATCAAGGCATCAGTCAACTCACCGCCCAAACCAAAAATAAATAAACCCACTTACAGCACAGCTTCTTCTAAGCCACAGAGTTCCCGACACAGAAACTAAAAATAAATTAATTAATTAATGCATCGTGAGAGTCTATTCTCACTCAGTAGAACTGCCTGTTACTGTTGTCATTATGTGCCCTCAAGTAGTTTGCAGCTCATAGTGACCCTGCATACAACACCTCTGAACCCTGCTTTAACCTGAGCCAATTTCATCATCTCTTACACACCTACACCCATTACCCCAGTCAATCCTTCTCATCCAAGGTCTTCCTTTTTTGCACTGTCCTTCTACCCTCCCAAGCATGATGTCCCTCTCCAAGATTCCTCCTTGCAACATACCTAAAGTATGTCAGACACAGTTTCAGAATACTTGCCTCCAAGGAGCAGCTTGGTTTCACCCTCTCCAGGGGGAACCTGTTTGTTCTCCTAGCAGTCCAGTTTATCCAATCCTCTTCTCTACCTCCACAGCTCAAAGGACTAAGTTTCCCCTCCATCAACCCTAGTCATTGTCCAGCTTTCTGATGCATAGAAAGTAATTGTGAAGCACCTGGCCTGGATCAGGCACATCTAAGTCTCCATACTGAACTCATTGATCTTCAGTACTTAGAGAGGTCCCTGTCAGCATATTTTCCCTAACGTAATTTGTTGATCTATTCTGTATATAGATTGAAAAGGTATGGAGGTAGGAAACATCCCTGGTGTACACCCTTCCTGATTTTAAACCATGTATTGTTTCCTTGTTCTTTTCTGATAACTACCTCCCGGTCCAAGTATAGGTTTCACATAAGCACAATCAAGAGTTCTAAGATTCACATTTTCCTCAGAGTTTCTTGTGATCCACACAGTGAAATGCCTTTGCATACTCAAGAAAACATAGACAGACATTCCTCCAGTACCTTCTGCTTTCAGCCAAGATTCATCAACAGTAGCTATATCTCTAGTAGCATGGCCACTTCTAAACCCAGCCTGCATATCTGGCAGTTCTTTGTTGAAGCACTGTTCTAGTCATTTTTTTTAATATATAATTTTCTGGCAGAATCTTGCTTGCATGTGATATTAATGATATTGTTCAATAAATTTCCAACTCTGTCATCAGAAGAGACTCTGAATATTGCACTAGAATGTTGAGAAGCCAAAGCAAAGGGAAGAAATCAAGAATTGAAGGAGCTGAACAGAAGATTTCAAATTTTCAGAGAGTTGGAATCAGAAAATCAAAAAAGCTGAACTCAGCATTTCTTAAGCTGAAGGAACTGAAGAACAAATTCAAACCTCCAGTTGCAACACTTAAGGATGCTTTGGTCAGAATCTTAAATGATCCACAAAGCATTAACAGAAGGTGGAAGGAGTATACTAACTCACTGGACCAAAAGGAGTTGGCTGACAAAGAAGAATTTCATAAAACAATGTATGAGCAAGAGGCTGTGGTGATAAGGGAAGACGTTCAAGCTGCTCAGAAAGAATTCGCAAAAATCAACATCCCGGGAATTGATGGCATACCAGTTAATGTATTTCAACAAAAGACACTGCCCTGGACACACTCACCAGCTTGTGCTAAGAAATCTGGAGAATGACCATCTAGTCATCTGACTAGAAGAGATCCATATTGGTGGTGGTGGTGGTGGTGGTGGTGGTTGTTAGGTGCCATTAAGTTGACTTTAAGAAGAGTGTCACATCTTTTTCTCACAAATCTTTCTGTACCTTCAAGTCAGATGCTGAATGCTAAACCCCTGTACCACCAAACCAATAACTCTATAGTGATCCTCTTAAATTAGAGTCTTTTGGGGTGAGGGGAAGCCCAACCTACAGAAAGACCCCCAAAAGCTCTTAGCTTCATATTTTAAAGATATTAACATATTTTAGAAAAAGATGAGAAATTTCCCTACAACGTTGTGAACCATTGCATCTGAATCTTCCCATAGCTGGGCCAGTCACCAGCATGTCATCAGAGATTTCAGTAAATCACACAGGAAGAGATTGCCTATCCTTCTTCCTGAACTTGATGGGTTCAGACTATATACCTTGGTGTTGATAGTGCAATTCCTTACCACTGAACCACCAGTTGTGGTGGTGGCGGTGCTGGTGGTGAACCATCAAGTCAAAACCTACCAATAGTTAACTCTCTAGAGGACTTTCAGGAGGACACAGCCCTCCATCATTCTCCTACAGCACAGCTGGTGGATTTAAACCAGGTGCCTTTGGGGACTGAAGTGCAGCATTGTTTGACACAGTGGCCTACTGGTAAGTAGCTGCTCTGTGATCCCAACGACATGTGGCTCAAATTCACAACAGAAACCACCAGAGTCTCCTATGTATTTACTGCTTCTGGAAACACTCTGGCGGATTATCTGAGTTGGTTTCAACTTGCGGGTAAAGAACAACTCTGAAAGTAGAGAGCAGTGTTGAACATTTCATCCAAAGTTTTAGTTGTTGTTTGATGCCATCTAGTCAAGTAGGACTTATAGTGACTCTATGAACAGCAGATCTGAATATTCCTCTTACACCATCCTTATTATCACTACCACAGGTGAGCCCATTGCTGAAAACATTACTGTTGTTGTAACATAAACTTCTAGGGGGGAAAAAAGAGGTACAAGGAACAGTGTACTTGCCTGGTTTTAACAAACCCTCCAGCTCTTTTACTCATCTTATACAATAGATTTCTTTTCCCTCCTGTCTCCAGAACATCCAATATCACTGACCATTTTACTTGGATGGAAGTGTACCAAAAGATTGCTTCCGGACCACAATAACAAGAGATTTATTTCTATTTCATTACATTAAGTTACATAGGTGTAACAAAGTATAATTTCAGTTGCTGGTTTGTCTTCAGGATTAAGCAAAAAAAAGAAAAAATAGATTTCAGTTTACAATCATTCCATACTCTTAACAAATGGGATTTTCCTTTTTTTAATGTATTTAAACTTTGCCGGGAACGGGCAAGGTTCAGGCTTGTTGTTCACAGGGTCTGTAAGAGTAATGGACTACTTGGTGGTAACAACAAACATTGAAGGTTGCATAAGTACAAGCTCATTCAATGAAGGAGAGAAAGAAACAAAGGAAGCTTTGTCTTCTATGCACCAAATTCCAGCCTTTCAGAAGCCTTAGTGGGAGGGGATAAATGACGTAGCACTTCTCGTCACCTTTTTGTCACGTTCGCATTTGTAGCTTTCAACAAGGTCCGCAGAGCGGCTATAAATAAGGATCTCGGAACTGTCTTCCACACTGCTGAACCGGTCCCGACTTGTTCTAGAGGAAACGCTACGATGTCTGGCCGCGGCAAAGGCGGGAAAGGGCTCGGAAAAGGAGGCGCCAAACGCCACCGCAAAGTGCTCCGCGATAACATCCAGGGCATCACCAAGCCCGCCATCCGCCGCCTGGCCCGGCGTGGCGGCGTCAAGCGGATCTCCGGCCTCATCTACGAGGAGACCCGCGGGGTGCTGAAGGTGTTCCTGGAGAACGTGATCCGGGACGCCGTCACCTACACCGAGCACGCCAAGCGCAAGACCGTCACCGCCATGGACGTGGTCTACGCGCTCAAGCGCCAGGGTCGCACCCTCTATGGCTTCGGAGGTTGAGTAGGCAGTGATAGCTCCAAACAAAAGGCCCTTTTCAGGGCCACCTATCCACTCAATAAAAGAGCTAACCACAGTAACTGGCTGCAAAATAGGGTTAATTTCAATATAACTTAGCTGTAGAAACCGCATCAAAATCCTAAAAGTATGCGGTTCCATGCCGAAACATGCAGTCTCCTCCCGTAGGTTTAAGAGCCTCGGAAAAGCTGCGGGGCCATGTATGAGACAGTTCTGGCATACATCACCCTTAAAGGGGATCCCAGCCCGGCGAGTTGTGACGCTCACCTAAAGGAGAAACCACTGATAATTTGGATCCATCATCCTTTGGGTCTGGGGGGAGAAAGATGGTTCTTTACCTTGAAGAGCCACCCTGTGAATAACAGATGTACCCTCCTGATGATCTTTTGACATAATGAAGCCCATTGCTACAGTGACCATGGCACTCCTTTTTGTCAGGATATTTCTTTCCACCTCCCTAGCATGAAATCTGTTTTTAAAAGCAATATGCCCGAAGTATGTGAGATGAAGCTTTGACATCTTTACCTTGAAGGAACACTGTGGCTGCACTTTTTTAAAAAACATCGATTTATTATTTTGACGCTCTATATAATAATCAGCCTTCCAGTACCACAGTTCAAAGGCATACGTTCTTCTGACATTCTCTTGCTCCCAGATCATAGCAAGTGATTAGAAAGATGATAACCTGCATCAGGCGCATCTTAGTCTTCAAAGTGACATCATTGTCCTGTGGCAACCGACTTGCCAAACGTATAAATAAGTCTCCTGATCTCATGACTACTGGGTCAACAAGGTTGTTTGACCTTGGATCCAAGCATGATGAAATCACTGACAACTTTACTCTTTTCTCCATATGATGTTTCCTATTGGTCTAGTGGTGAAGATTTTTTTTCCACATAATTCTTTCTTTTAATAATTAATGCATATTCATGGTTTAGACTTTTAAATCACAATTTACAGATGAGGAAACCTACTAGGCCCACTAGAGAACAGTAAAGCTACTACAGCTGGAAGGAAGGCATGCCCTTACATGCGTTTTAGACCTAAATTGCAGAGAGTTGACAGCAAGACCACCACAGATGTCATCCTCCAGTTAAGTGGCAAAAGAGGAGAGCCCAGTCATGTTCAAGCCCCATGGTCTGAGCCCCTCATCTGCATGGAGCAGAGCCAACGAAAAGCTGTGCTGCTTTTAGATGAACTAGCGGTTTCGCCTTGATGGTTTTAAGTAAAACTTGCTGCTATTGATAATAGTTAGGGCAAGGGCATTAGCTACAGAAGGGTATTCCGCTGATACAGACACTATTAGAACAGCAAAGAGGAGGTTACATTGGTAATCTTGTTTCTTTAAATAATCAGAAACTTCCGTATTGTGGAAGGGGAAGATTGGAAGGAACTCCACCTCCAAGACCCTTACTCCAAAAACTTCCTGTTGGCATTAGCACCAAACACAGCTCCCCGTACTGCTGTCATCATATGCTGGGCTATGAGATCCAGCCGGCTTTCAAGGGTGTTGGAAACCTTTATTTTACGATTCTCCATTATAGATCTCAACACCACCAGCTATGTCCTCAGGCAAAAAGGTCTCCTGATCAATTTGGACATCAACATCTTTTGTTGGTGGCAATTTTGTACATAGGGACTGCTTTTTGCACAGCAGCCTGTACTAGAGGGAAATCCTGTTTCCTGCAACGAAAAATCATTTGGGTCTCCAGCAACTGGTACAAACCCTGGAGGACCAGTCCATCCAGCAGCACTTGGTGTCTGGTTGTATCTTTTACCACCTTGCTGAGTCTCTATTTCGCTTCATTTAGTAGGTCTGTGATAAGGTCATCTTTTGCTCTGAGGACTTTCAGTCTTGCTTGATGCATCAAATTAGACATTTGAATTTTCTTCTGCTGCTCAATCTGCTTTTCTTTCCTCTCATAATATTCCATAATCTTCAGTCTTTGGGTTTGCACAAGATGGCCTTTCTCAATGTTGAATTCTTCCTCTGCCTTTGCATCTATTTCTTCTGCCTTCTCATTGGCTTCTTGTTCAATGAAAGCCATCATGTGCTTAATCTGTTTTTGTACGTCTGCATCGCTGAGAGCCATGGTGAAAGTGTTGCTAGGCTGGCAGGAAATAAATTCAAGTTTTGGCTTAAATGGGCTGTTCGTTCACAGGGTCGCTATGAGTCGTCTACGACTCGATGGCATCAAACAACAACAACAACAAGGCTTAAATGGAGCAGTAGGTGGAAACCGAGAGGAAAACTCAGCGCAGGTTTCAGCTTCCTTTGCTTTATCGAGGATTTTTATTTTGATGCTGAAATGAAATCCAAATTAAAAGCTGGAGTCTTTGACCCTCTGCAGCAAGTGCTTCAAGACCTCCTCATTTTTAGCAAGCAAGGTATGTCATCTGCATAATGAAGGCTGATGAATGAGCCTTCCTCCATTCTGACTCTACACTTCTTTTCATAAAGTCCAACTTCTAGAGTGATTTGTTCACCATACAGATTGAATAGGCATGGAAAGAGAATACACCCCTGACACACACCTTTTCTGACTTCGAGGCATGCAATGTTTCCATGCTCTGTTTTGACATGCGCTTCCTCGTCTAGGTATACATTCCATATGAGCATAATTAAGGGTTCTGGAATTCCCATTCTTCTCAAGGCAAATCATAGTTCATTATGATCTTACATAAACATTTTTGCATAACCTGCAAAGCACAAGTAGACTTTTTTCCCCCAGTATTCCTTGCTTGGAGCCAAGATCCATCTGACATCAACAATAAATATATATCCCCAGTGCCACAACCTTTTCTAAACCCAGCTTAAATGTCTGTTCAAATTCAAGCCTTTTGGGGATAATCTTCGGCAATATTATGTTTGCACATGATTTACACCCTCTGAAAACTTGTAGGTCAACTGTGAATTGATTTCAACTCAACAGCAACAGTGAGCAGTGGTAGTTCTCAAAATGGACCTTGGAAGTTATTTTTGTGCTTTACAATGTTGAATATTTTAATTTTTAGAGGCAGATTAAAGAAGACCTGTATATTATTCCAATATATATTTCCCATATCACCACCCCGTCATTCTACTCTTAACCAATCCTATGTATAACCTCAATTCCCCACCCTCCAAAAAAAATTAGATCTTGTGAAGTTTTCTACATAATCCTCCATCAATATACTCACTGAGCTAGAACAAGCTTTCCCCATTTCATTGGCTCCCATACAAGGAAGCTTATAAGCTTTGCATTCTTTAATTTAAATCATGTTTATTGTATTTAATTGATGTACATTTTGTTTCATGTGTTTCATTGTGTGTCATTCATAAACTTCATAAACATTGTATTTTATGTCATTAATTACTATTGATCTTGTCCAGTATTACTCTATCTTTTCAAGAGTGGGGTGAAAGTTTAGTGAGTAAATCCAGTCTCCATACAATTCATACACATTTTGTTTTATGATGTTAATTATTATCCTGACAGCATAACAGCACTCATCTCACTTCCACCCCATGACTCATGTATTTCCATTTATCTCCTAGTTTAACCTTTTCTGCCTTCCAAGCTTCTCTCAAGGTAAAACTACCCTTAGTTCTGAGGCTTAAGTACCTTCTTGGTGTTTTGTTCACTTGCTGTTTTATTAAATGCTGAGCCATCAGAGTGAAATTTAGTTTCAAACTCAAAGAATGACTAAGATCTATACTTCCTAAGGTTCCAACAGTCTCTATCAGACCTGGCCATTTTTATGATTTGTGTAATAACAACTTACCAAAGAAAATTTGCTTTTAGCAATAAAAATATAAGTGATTCTATTACTGAAAATGGCTCTTTGGTGGCTTAGTCCAAAGGGAGTTGCACTGCTATGGTGGTTCATATCCACCAACCAATCCTTGAAAGAGATTTACTGCCTTGAAAACCTACTACAGGCGTTGGTAGGAACTGTTTCTGACTGGATAGCAGAGTTTGAGAGGTTTTAATGTCCCAGTCTTGACACATGAAATGATTGGATCTGGTGCCCTGGGGGTAAGAAGCCACGCTTCAAAACTAAAGACACATGGTTATAATCCACCAGCTGCTCCTTGAGAGAAGGATAAGCAGTCTCCTTCCTTGAGATTTCTTGCCTCTGAAAACCTGCTGGAGGGTCAGCTATGGGTTAGAGATACAGGTGAAAATTAAGATTTCATTGCTTTGTACAATATTGTGCTGCTCATAATAAGAAATTTTAAAATGCACAAGTTAAAGACAATTTAAAAATATAATAAAAGTAATAAAGTTTAATTTTTGCTTAAAGTTCTTTAATAATGTTTAATGGCACTGAATGCAATTGTTTTGAGAGCAGAACCAAACAAAACCTTCATTATTATTTGTTATGCAAATATATCCTTTACTAAATAATTTTATTTAAAATTTTTCAGATTCACAATGATTTTTGCTTAACAGAATAGATTGAATTTGAAAAATATAGTTTTGTGATATAGCATATGAAAATGAATAGCGTTGGAAATTGCCTTTGAAGAGTGAGTTCTAGAAATATGTTTGTTTGGTGCTGGTATACTTGGCTACAGTCCTGGCGTCCTCTGACACAGCATACCAGGGCAGTAGCAGGCATGCAGTACTCGATCTGACATGAGGCCAGATGCTTCACCTGCGACTCTCTCTAAGATGTATGGAAGCCTGTGGTCGTTGAATAGATGTTAGGGTTGTTGTTGTTGTTGCTGTTGTTTAATTAGTGCCTTCAAGTCACAATCGACCCATAGCTGACCCTCCAGTGAATTTATGGAGACAATAGAACACACAAGAGGAAGATTGTCCATCCTTTCCCACAGAACAGGTGGTGGATTCAAACAGCATGCCTTTGGGATTTTAGCACAGTTTCTTACCACTAGGTGAGGGTACCAGGGTACATCTCTTTCAGTACTTTATAAATGTAAATTGAATGCCTTAGTTTACATTTTTCCCCATTCTTCTTTTACACCTTGGTAAATACCATTTTTTCACCATTATAAACTTTGAGAAACAACGATAGTTACATAAAGGCTTCAGGTCTTTTGTTCATAAGGTTGCTATGAGTCATGCTCGACTTAACGGCAATCAACAACAACAACAAACACCATCTTGGAATCCTTATTAAGTAACAGAATGGGCCTAACATGTTCTGGCATGGTAACAGAAATACTGGACTATCTAAAATTTCAAAAGGAAAAAAGTCTCAAGTATTGACATTACATCTAGGCAAACAAATCTACAACCAGTGAAGCAGATTTTTCAGGATGTAAATCTTTAAGGGAGGAGACTGCTTCTCTTTTCTTTTTGAAGATAACAGTTTGGTTTGAACTGGCAATCTTACAGATAGCAGCTTGACAATTTTCATAGAACCCACCAGGGTTCCTTTATATAAGTAAATAAAAACTTGCAAATATGAATATAAACATCTAATGACTCAACATTAGTCAATACAGTAAAAGTATTCCAAAACTTCTTTTTCCTTGAAAGAGAACCCCAAAGGAAAATTCTGTAAGCTGACATAATAATTTTTTTTATTACTTTATTCACTAAGAAAAACCTGATTGTGGGCTGTTAAGTCAGAGCTGGCCTATCCAGTGGGTTTTAAAGGCAATAAACTGAGTAGTAGCTGGTGGATTCTAACTATATGGACTTAAAGCACAGCTTCTTACCACTAGGCTATCAAAGGTGCCTAAGAAAAAATTTAGAGTGATTAATAAAGTTAAGTGAAAGAAAAGGCAGTACACAATCAGAAATTATATTAATCAATGACAATTCATATTCCAAAATAATGTATCTATGAAAACTCAATATGATTTGTTAACCTTCACTCAAATCAAAACAAATATACATTTTTAATAAAAAATGTTTTAAAAGATGCTAGCCAACCAAAAAAAAAGAGGAAAGAAAAGTAATTGGTAAGTATTCTATTTGAAAGTGAAATATCAAAGAAATCTCTTCCAGAATATTACTGCCATCCGGTGGATAAGGTCTCAGTGCCCATCTAATTGGTTTCTGAGGAGAAATCCTCGTAGTTAGAGGAGACAGGCCATCTTTCTTCTTGCACTACTAGTGGGTTCAAACTCTTGTTGATTAGGAGTGTAGTTGACACTTCACTGGAATTGGTAGCCAGCTTACCTGAGGTTTTTTAAAATAAATAAATAAATGGGTCTTTTCTACTACAATTCTTAGTTGTTGGACCACTACAGCATTCTAAGTAAATATAAATGTCTCCATCGAGTTCCAATACTGCAAAAGTTTTCTTTTTATACTAAATTCTATGGTGTCAACACAATGGTTGATGCTAACCAGTGCGGTAACTCAATCATTTCTCTTTCCTTATCAGACTATACAGAATTTTTAAGAGTTTTTATTAACCATTGTAATTGTAAAATACTATGTGAGAACTCTAGCTGGGAAATTGCTTTAAAGGACTTTTATTTCATAGATTGTTTAGGAAAAGTGACATCAAAATTGTTTTATCAAATTTTTCTACACTGCATTATCAGTTATTCTAAAAATACCAGCTATAACAAAAAAAAAAAAAAAAAAAAAACAAAACCCTAAGGACACTAGTATGAAGTTCCACCTGTAATGGGTAATAATGACAGTTCTGGAACATAGTACCAAAAAAAAAAATTTTAAAATGCCACACACCACAAGCAAATTGATGCAGACTCATATTGATTCTGTAGGACAGAACAAAACGGGATTCCCAAGACTGTCAATCTTTACCAAAGCAGAGTACAACATCTTTCTCCTATTGAGCAGCTGGAGCTTTTAGAACCACTATTCTTTTGCTTAGTAGCTGAACTACTGCACCACTAGGAACACAATAGGTTTTAAAAGCAAATAAGCACACAATTTTAGACTGACACATGTACTTAGGTAGATGTACTTAGGTAGGTACTTGCTATAATTAATTTTGTTATAATTAAGTATAGGACTATTTTCCTGAAGTATCAATATCTGCTGGAATAACGTACAAAAATTGTAAAAAACAGGTATTTTGGAGTTCTCATCTGATAGTTTCATCTGTGGTGGCCTGCACTACCTTAAACCTGCTAGTGACTCCACTCAACCAAGGCATATTCTCCACAACAAAAAGGAAACAATTATTACTTTGAATCAAACCCAGTTTAAGAGAGTTTGGAATTCCAAGTCTTTTCAGAAATTGTTATGTGTGCCATGAACCGTGTTCTGTGGGTTATATACAGAACTGCAAAGAAAATGAAAGCGGGATTCCTGGCAATGTCCTTCAACAATGAATTCTGAAGGCGAAAGAAGACTATGGAAAATAAGCAGTGGGTAGTAAGGGTTAACTTAGCACCCAAAGAATGGTTGGCGTTTTTGAACATTTTAAAAGCTACAGTTTTCTCCTTCTCATACAAACTATTTTGTAAATCCATCTGAGAGAGTTACATAACATTAAAACGAATTAATAGATTTGTAGAAGATGCTTTTGTGTGTGGAACGTTAACAAAGACTCTTAATACATAATCATTCATTTTAAAAGGGGAGGGAGTATGCCTGTATAAAATTAACCAATCAGAAACTTGCACTAAAAAAATTAACCAATGGTAAACTCTTACGCAACTCCCGGAAATTAGCAAATAGAGGCAAACAGGATTCACCCATAATCCAATCCGTGCACTTCTGACCCTATATAATTACAAGAGAACGCACCTACTTCCACTCTTCTTGTTTTGTACCCAGAGAATGGCTCGTACCAAGCAGACAGCCCGCAAGTCCACCGGCGGCAAGGCCCCGCGCAAGCAACTGGCCACCAAGGCAGCCCGCAAGAGCGCGCCGGCCACCGGCGGCGTCAAGAAGCCTCACCGCTACCGGCCCGGCACCGTGGCGCTGCGCGAGATCCGGCGCTACCAGAAGTCCACCGAGCTGCTGATCCGCAAGCTGCCCTTCCAGCGCCTGGTGCGCGAGATCGCCCAAGACTTCAAGACCGACCTTCGCTTCCAGAGTTCGGCCGTCATGGCACTGCAGGAGGCGTGCGAGGCCTACCTGGTGGGGCTCTTTGAGGACACCAACCTGTGCGCCATCCACGCCAAGCGTGTCACCATCATGCCCAAGGACATCCAGCTCGCCCGCCGCATCCGCGGGGAGAGGGCGTAGGTTAACCTCCCAAGTGAGTGCTAATTTTGAACCCAAAGGCTCTTTTCAGAGCCAACCATCTTTCCTGTAGAAGATGCTGTGATACTTCTAAAGTTCTGAATTAGAAGCAAGTACTTAACTTTTCCACAATCTATCCTGCTGACATTTAAAGCCCTGCCTGTGCACTAGTACGCCTTATAAACTTTATTCCTTAAACCCCATAAATTTGCTGGTTATTTTGTTTTGTTGGGTTTTTAAAAACAAGAGGAACTGGTGACTCTGGGCCTTCTTTTGCGGTTAATTTGCCTTCTAGGCATCTGAGGTTCAATTTGTTATTTTGGCGCCAGAAGCCTCGCGCCGCCCTCCCCCCACGCTTATTTCTGACGCCACGTGGGTGAGCTTTTTGGTTTAGCGAGCACTTATTTGCCCAGGTATTTTGCAAAAGTGGTTAAGGCTTAATCACTTGGCCTAGAGATCAGTGATTTAGACTCAAAAAAGTGACCATCTGTGGAGTCCTAAAGCAATTGACTCAACAGCAGGGGTGTGGTTTTGGCGGGAGTTTTGCTTTGGCAGCACGCAGGAATCCCCAATTCTAGCTGATCCCTGCCCACCAGTTAAATTATGCTAATCCTTTAGTCAGATTATCCGAGAGGCTGGGCTCTAAGAGGAGAATTGTGGCATCAGGATTGGTGGAAGATCTAGTAACAATCTGCGTTACGCAGATGACACAACCCTGCTCGCTGAAACTGAGGAGGACCTCAAGAACTTACTGCAGAGGGTCAAGGGCTGCAGCCTTCAATATGGACTGAGGCTCAATGTCAAGAAGACAAAAATTCTCACCACTGGACCAATCGGAAGCATCAGGATGGATGGCGAAAAGATTGAGATTGTTCACAGCTTCAGTTTGCTCGGCTCCACGGTCAACACTCTTGGCACCAGTAACCAGGAAATCAAAAAACGTATTGCGATGGGAAAGTCGGCTGTTAAGAACCTCTCTAAAGTACTCAAGAGCAGTGGTGTCTCTGGAGACTAAGGTGAACCTGATACAGGCCATGGTTTTTGCAATCACTTCTTATGCATCAGAGAGTTGGACAATGACTAGGGAGGATAGAAGTAGAATTGATGCCTTTGAGCTGTGGTGCTGGACAAGAGTATTGAATGTACCATGGACCGCCAAGAAAACAAACAGATTCATCCTAGAGAGGGTTAAACCAGGCTGCTCCTTGGAGGCAAGGATTCTGGGGCTTCGTCTGACATACTTTGGACATGTTGTAAGGAGAGACAGGTCTTTAGAGAGGGACATCATGCTGGGTAGAGTGGAGGGACAGCACAGGAGGGGAAGACCCTCTATGAGGTGGATTGATTCAGTGACTGGGGTAATCGGGATGGGTGTGTCAGAGGCAGTAAGATTGGGACAGGATAGAGCACGGTTTAGGGCTGTTGTACATAGGGTCGCTATGAATCGCAAACGACTCGACGGCACATAACAACAACAATCCTTTAATCAAGTTGCAGAAAAGTCCCGAATTCTCATTAAAACACACTCAAAATTTATTCCTAACACACAAAATAACTTTGCTTTGTCTTTCTTGTCCACCCAAAAACTCCATCTATTTCTATCCTATGTTATAAATATAGTGCCGTAAGAAGGCAGCTCTGGTAGCTTTGTGATAAGAGTCTGTGCTTCGATCTCAAAGGCCTGCAGTTCATATCCAACAGTTGTTCCGGGGGAGAAAGATGGGCAATTTCCTCCCGTGGGATTAACTGCCTCTGAAAACTGGAGGGTCAGCTATAGATCAGTTCTGACTCAAGAATACACAACAAGAGGGGAATAGCATTATTAGTGATAATAGGTGGTAAAATTCATTGTCACAGACTCATAGGTGAATCTCCAGGGAGCTTCCCGAGACCGTGTAAATATAATGAGAGATTGCCTGCTTTCTCCTATTGGGTTCTATCTGCCTTTGGGTTGGTAGGTAGCAACCCCTTCTGTCTACCTTTGGGTCGGTAGCACAAGATTTAGGAACAGTTATTAAGTGCCATCTGGTGGAACAGAATTCATAGCAACTCAGAGCAACAGATCTGAATCTGGCCAGATCTGTCAAATTCAGCCCATTATGTGTAAATCGGTCTACTTGAGAGCTTTCAACCTCCCTTTTGCTGACCCTCTACCTTTCTTAGCATAACATCTCTCTGCAGAGACTGTTTCCTCCTGAAAATATGCCCAGAGTAAGTGAGGTGAAGTTTCACTATTCTTTGTTGTGCTTACTTAAAGACAGATTTTGGTTCTTTCTTTTGGCAGCCCATGATGTATTTAATATTCTTCACCAAAATCACAATTCAAAGGCATCGGTTCTTCTGGCATCGTTACTTAGTGTCTGAGGAAAGCAATGAAAAGACCATGGGTTGGATCAACTGCACCTTGGTCTTTAAACTGATATCCTTGCTGTTTAGTGCTTTAGCACTTAGCTCTTTAGCCCTTTGGAGAAGTCCTTGTTTTGGAATGCGGAAGGGAAAAGTATTTACTATTTTTCATCATATATGCTTTGAAGAAGCATTTTATGTTCAAATCAGCAAATACTTTCAGTTTTGCAAAAGGTAAGCTAGACTTAACTTCACAATTGAAAGGCTTCCATTGATTGATTAAATTAAACTGTTTACCAAGGTTATTTCAGTGGCAAATTTCATAAAGATAAAAGCTGTAGAAAGAAATGTAAGCCAGTTAGGCACAATAAAAAGTTCTGGGTGTTTTGCTCTTTAAAGAAAATATGATTTTTTATATTTGTGTTGAATATTAGGTCTTAGGTGCTGAGATCTGGCTTAATTTTTAAAACTAATAAGCTATCTAGTTGATATTGAATCACAGATATTTATAATGTACTAAACTTCTAATGTTGTTGTTATGTGCCGTAGAGTCGCTTGCGACTCATAGCGACCCTATGTACAACAGCCCTAAACTCCGCTCTGTCCTGTGCCAATCGCACTGTCTCTGACACTCCCATTCCAATTATCCCAGTCACCCAATCAATCCACCTCATAGAGGGCCTTCCTCTCCTGTACGGACCGTCCCTCCACCCTCCCAAGCATGATGTCCCTCTCTAAGGACCGGTCTCTCCTCACAACATGTCCAAAGTATGTTAGACGGAGCCTCAGAATCCTTGCCTCCAAGGAGCCACCCGGTTTAACCCTTTCCAGGACAAATCTGTTTGTTTTCCTAGCAATCCATGGTATTCTCAATACTCTTCTCCAGCACCACAGCTCAAAGGCATCAATTCTCCTTCTATCCTCCTTGGTCATTGTCCAACTCTCTGATGCATAACAAGTGATTGCGAAGACCAGGGCCTGTATCAGACGCACCTGAGTCTCCAGAGAGACACCATTGCTCTTCAGCACTTTGGAGAGGTCCCTAACAGCAGACTTTCCCATGGCAATGTGCCTTTTAATTTCCTGGCTGCTGGTGCCAAGACTGTTGACTGTGGAGCCAAGCAAACTAAAGCTGTGTACAATCTCAATCTCTTCACCATCTATCCTGATGCTGCCAATTGGTCCAGTGGTGAGAATCTTTGTCTTCTTGACGTTGAGCCTCAATCCATATTGTAGGCTGCAGTCCTTGACACTCTGCAGCAGGCGCTTCAGGTCCTCTTCAGTTTCAGCAAGCAGGTTTGTGTCATCCGCATAACGCAGGTTGTTGATAAATCGTCCACCAATCTTGACCCCACATTTCTCCTCATAGAGCCCAGCCTTCCAGATAATCTGTTCTGCATATAGGTTGAAAAGGTACAGGGGAAATTCCATATCAAATTACCATTTCCTATGTCCTGAGTTTTATAATTCTTGCACAAGATGTGGAATGAATGTTTATGTCTCATCAGATAAGGACTGTGAAGACACTTCATTAAATCTACATTTTATTAAAGACATCTTATGGATGGTACTTTGCTCAAAACAAATCTTGGAGAAATTTTATATTATTAAAAAAAATATCAAAAAAGGAGAATTGAACACATAGCAACTTCCTGATAACAGGAATACAAATCTGATAATTCAAAAAATTACATTGCCATTGAATCAGAATCAACTCACAACAGAACTGCTGGTGGGTTTTCACAGATAAATCACAGGGGAAGAGACTGCTCATCCAGCTTCACATATATAATAAATATTTCTATTAATAATATAGAAACATTTACATTATTATTGTTAGTGTTAGGTGCCTTTGGGTCACATATGATTCATAGTGAATCTCTGAGCAATAGATATCAATCCTTTCTTGTCCAGTTCTAATATTTTCATCTTCAACACACTTGAGCCCATTGCTAGACTCACTGTTCAAATCCATCTCATTGAGGGTCTTCCACTCTTTGGTTGACCCTCCACCTTTCCAAGCATGATGTTCCTTTCCAAAGAATAGTCTTGAATTTGAACCATACCTCTGTGTTGACAGCACAATCCCTCACCATTAAGTCAGCAGAGCTCCCTATGACACCAAAGCTCCTATTATCCTGTAACACCCCTAAATCATGTAGTTGTTGTATGCCATCAAGTCAGAACCTACTTTTAGACAATCCTCTAGCAGGTTTTCAAAGACAGTAAATCACCAGGGAAGAGAGTATTCATCCTTCTACCTTGGATCAGCTGTTAGATTTGAACCAGATGCCTTTAGGATTACAGTTCAAGTTTTTTATCATTAGGCCACCAGAGCCCTGTATAATGCACAATTATGTTATATGTGCTTTACAAATCATATCAGGGAACTGAACCTAAGAAAGTTTCAGATAATGATTGATAGATCCAAACTTTTTTTTAATGTTACTTTAATTAACCCCATGTGCATCATCCTTGTAAATAACCCATTTTGGTTTTGGGGGTTTTTTCTACTAGTTTATTTACAAACCTGAGTGTTTTCTTACCTGGGGAGATCCAAAAGAAAAGTGACTTGCCAATGTTGACACAATCTTAATTCTTTTTTATATATTTATTAAATATTTGTTAGGTACCATTGAGTCAATTAAAATATGTCTGTATATATAAATGAGGGAGGTCTGGTAGCTTAGTGGTAGGGAGCTGGCTGACCAACAGCAGAGGTTCAAGTCTACCAGTTATACTTGATTCAATGGCACCTAGCAACAACAACATAATCACTACTGAGGAGCTCTGGTGCCTGGCCTTTAGGGAGCTGGTCCTTGGGGGAAAAGATGAGCAAACTCCTCCTGTCATTTACAGCTTCAGAAACCCAACACAGCATCAGCTATGAGTTGGTCCCAACTCAACAGCAATGAGGAAGAGAGAGGTCACCATTACAAGAACTCCATTGGCATAGAGTGTTACAAACTGGGCTGTTATTCACAGGGTGTGAGGTAGAATCTACCAAGAGCTTCACTGGAGAAATATCTGCATCTTCAGAAACATGATGGAAGGTTGTCATGAGTCAGAATCAACCCAGAGGTCACGTGTTTATTATACTTACTGAAGTATGTTGTACAGAAATTCTACCAATGTACTGGTTATAGATTGGATTATGTAAAAAAGTTACCAATCCTGCACTCTATAAATGGGTAAATTCCATTTGAGAATGAGTTGGCAGTGTTTATGCTATGAGTAAACATCTTTTGAAATATAGAAGAAATTAAACAGACAAACAGAAAGCAGCAGAATTTGAAATGAGGAGAGAAGGGAGAGGTCAAGCTACAAGAAGATGACCAAGGAGCAGAAGCACAGAGAGACAATGGCCTTTCCTCCAGAGTCAACAGTGAAAGTCTTCCCCTAGAGCCAGCATCCTGAATTTGGTTGCTACAACCTTGCTTGCTAAAAGTGAGGAGGACTTGCAGCCCTTGCTGCACAAGGTTAAATACTTCAGACTTCAATATAGACTGCATTTCAATGTCAAGAAAACAAAAATCCTCACCACCGGACCAAGAGGTAACACATGATAATGGAGAAAGGACTGACACTGTAAATGGCTTCCTGTTCCTTGAATCTACAATCAATACACTTGGTACCAGCAGTCAGGAGATGTATTACATTGGACAAGTCTACAGTCACAGAACTCTCCAAATTATTGATGAGCAATGATGTCTATTTTAGGACTAAGGTGTGCCTGATTCTGGCTATGGTCTTCTCACTTACTTGCTGTGCATCTGAGAGCTGAGCTATGACTGAGGATGACAGAGGAAAAATTAATGCCTTTGAAATGTTGTGTGGAGAAGTGTACTGAATATACTATGGACTGCCACAAGAACAAACAGATATATCTTGGGAAAGGTGCAGACTGCTCCTTAAAGGCAAAGATGATGAGGCTTCAACTCTCACACTTTGGGCATATTGCTCGGCAGTTATTCCTTGGAGAATGACATCACGCTTTGGAAGGTGGAATGACAGCAAAGGAGAAGACTTTCAACCACATGGGTTCAATGGGATTGAGAGTGTCAGATTCTGTGAGGATGACACAGGA